CCTCTATCATATCCCCCCTCAGTCTCCTCTTTTCTAAACTGAAAAGTCGCAGTCGTTTTAACCTGTCTTCATATGGGACCCATTCCAAACCTCTAATCATTTTAGTTGCCCTTTTTTGAACCCATTCCAAGGCCAAAATATCTTTTTTGAGGTGAGGAGACCACATCTGTACACAGTATTCAAGATGTGGGCGTACCATAGTTTTTTACAGGGGCAGTAAGATATTCTGGGTCTTATTTTCTATCCCTTTCTTAATTCCTAGCATCCTATTTGCCTTTTTGACCGCTGCTGCACACTGTGTGGTCCTCCGCTGCACACTTTTACTTTGCTTCGGTAGCAGTTTCTAAAGAAGCAAGTTGCGACTCTACGTGTTTGTTCATTTTTTTTTAAAAAAAGGATGGTATATTGAAGTTCACTGTCTTACCCTCATATTGTTAGAGAGATTGCCACGTAGTGTAGACAATAGGAATGTTAAAATGCATTTAATTATGTAATCGTATAACCACTGATACAGAGGCAGTGGCATGGGGAAGAGGAGCCAGGGTGCGTGGGGAACCTGGGAGCAGGCATTTCCCACCTGCTCCTACCCGTGCTGCTGCCTCTGATAGGGGCAGCAGCATGGGCGAAGAAAGGGGGAAGGGAACAGGGAGTATGTCTACACTACACCCCTAGTTCGAACTAGCAGGGTAATGTAGGCATACCGCAATTGCAAATGAAGCCCGGGATTTGAATTTCGCGGGCTTCATTTGCATAAGCGGGGCGCCGCCATTTTTAAAACCCCGCTGGTTCGAACCCCGTGCAGCGCGGCGAGTAACGGTAGTTCGAACTAGGAAGCCTAGTTCGAACTACCTAGTTTGTGCCGCGTGTAGCCGCGCGGCACGGGGTTCGAACGAGCGGGGATTTAAAAATGGCGGCGCCCCGCTTATGCAAATGAAGCCCGGGAAATTCAAATCCCGGGCTTCATTTGCAATTGCGGTATGCCTACATTACCCCGCTAGTTCGAACTAGGGGTGTAGTGTAGACATACCCGGAGAGGGGAAAGAGGAGAGGGCATGTGTAAATGTGCATATTAACTGATGAGCCCAGGCTCATCTGTTAACCATATACGTGGTTACACTTTTACATCCCTAGTAGACAAATAGCTCTTTAAAAAGTTTAATAAAACATTTCTCTTAATATCTAGTTTTATAAACAATATCTTGAAAGTATCATTCTTTTATATATGGATTTAAATACTTGTTTATATTGAGAATACTATAAACATCACCACTTTAAGGTTCTCATATACTAGCTTAAACAAAAGGAAAAACTATGTAGCACTTTAAAGACTAACAAGATGGTTTAATAGGTGATGAGCTTTCGTGGGCCAGACCCACTTCCTCAGATCATAGAAGTGGGTCTAGCCCACAAAAGCTCATCACCTATTAAACCATCTTGTTAGTCTTTAAAGTGCTACATAGTTTTTCCTTTTGTTTAAGCTAGTATATGAGAACCAAGGAGAAACTTCTAGCTTTTTTGTCCTGATAGAAAAGAGGTTCTCTAACTGTGGGTCGTGAAGGCAGTGTTCGACTTGCTGGTACCCTGGACCAAAGCCCTAGCCTCACTTCCTGGGGCCAAAGCCCAACATCTTCAGCTCACAGTGGCAGGTATCCAGTTTATAGGTCTCCCTCTTGGGGATGAAGTCCTTGGACTTAGGCTTTGGCCCTCCATTCTAGGATTGCAGGGCTCAGATTTTGACCCCCACTACCTGACCTGCGGTGGTAGAGCTCAGGTGGGCTCAAACTTTGATTTCCCCCTCCTGGGGTCCTGTAGTAATTTTTGTTGCCCGAAGGGGAGTGCGGGGAAATGAAGTTTGAGAATCCCTGAGGCCAGTTTGAGAATCCTCGAGGGATCAATGTTGAACTAAAGTATACAACTCCAGCTGCGTGAATGGTCGATGTACCATAGCTTGACTTACTGCGGCATCCCCACTGGGGTGGTCGATGGGAGGGTCTCATAAGAACATGACAATGGCCATAGTAGGTCAGACCAAAGGTCCATCTAGCCCAGTATCCTGTCTTCTCACAGTGGCCAATGCTAGATGCCCCAGATGGAGTGAACACAACAGGGAATCATCAAACAATCCGTCTCCCATCACCCATTCCCAGCCTCTGACAGAGGCTAGGGATACCACTCCTACCCATTCTGGCTAATAGCCATTGATGGTCCTAACCTCCATTAATCTATCTAGCTCTTTTTTGATCACTGTTAAAGTCCTGGTCTTTACACTATCTTCTGACAAGGAGTTCCACAGATTGACAGTACACTACATGAAGAAAAACTTCCTTTTGTTTGTTTTAAACCTACTACCTATTAATTTATTTGGTGACCCCTAGTTCTTATGTTCCTTTGCAAGGGAAGTTCCACCCCCCCCCCCATTCCTTTTTTTTTAAT